GCTGTACTAACCTCTCTGCTGGGAAGGCCGAGAGAAAGCCATCTGCGCCAGGGGATGGTGAGTTCAGGAGCTCCTGGGGCTGAGGTGTGCAGGGTTGCGGGCTCTGTGGCATGGACCACAAAAGTCTCATACTCAAGGGCATACTTGAGCCTGTGTCAAGGACGAGGAGGCATTCCCTCAGCAGGGAAGGCTGTTTCTGGTTGGCCTTTGCTCCTTCCCCTAGTACTAGCTATTGAACCCAAGGTCTCCACACAAAGCTGCATCCCTACCCACTTTTTAACTGTTTTATTTTGAGGTGTGGCCTTGCTCCCTTGTCCAGGCTGGGCTCGAACTTGCCATCCACCTACCTCACCCTCCCAAGGGTGCTGGGCCTTGAGGCTGCATCGCCACACCCAGTTCAATTTTTTGCTTTTGATAAATCAGTGAGTGCCTACTTCTAAATCAAGCTCAGAATTATATTAGTTTACAACCTTGTCATTTCCAGAACTCACTGGTTTGGGGGATAGACTTCTGGCAATAACCATACCTCCCCAGACCCACCTCATACACCCCTTGTCCTGTCCGCAGCCCAGCTGTGCTGTTGTGTGTCAGATTTTCACAAGAGTGGAAAAAACCCTGAGACACTGGCTTGTGAGATTCGAGGCTTATTAAGACTTACTAACAGGTTTGCCAGGAAGGAGAGGGTTAACCAGGGCTTACTAGGGAGTCCTGCAGTGGGGCCCATACTAAAGGAGTACTGGGAGGTCAGCACTAGGGCTAGACAGGTACTCACCAGATAGTACTCACAAGGCCCGGCAGCACCACGGGGCCACAGCACCTGCTGGCCACAGTGTTCTGTTGCACACCGGGTCACCACAGGGAGGGGTTTGTAGAGGGCTCTGCCCAGCAGCGACATCGTGAACTCAGCACTCGGCCAGCGGGGCAGCTCCCAAGGACAGCACAGGTGGCCAGCTCTCAACGTCCCTTGGGTGGTCCTTATCCAGACTGCAGCCCGGGCATGCTTATCACGACCACTTGTGTCAGCAAGAGCCCTGGAAAACCACTCGGGCATCTTGGCAACATGGTGCCCGCTGCCCTGCTTCTGCTCAGGGACGATACCGTGACCTACCAAGGAGCCCGGGGCTGTGGCTGGGGAGACCTGTGGCTACATTCTTCCGCAGCATGCTCCTCGCCTGTTTCTCTCGCTCAAGGAAGCGGCCACATCTTCACACGATTCTGATCAAGGGGAGTAGGATCAAAGCTCCAGGTTTCCTTTAGTACCAACAACTTTTTCCTAAAAGTAGCCCTTTGCCAAAACTGCCTCCTATTTTTAGCACAACTTGACATTATACTGTATTCTGAAAGGAAACTTTCTTTTCTGAATCAGAGACTATGAGACATTTTCATGACCATTTCTAATAACATAAAAGATAGGTGTGTAGAACTGCTTTAATCATAGCTCAGAGCTTTTGTGGTGGCTGGGAAGGAGGAGGAGGCTGCACTTTCCCAGACGGAAGGGCCAGGCGTCCGCCCCCAGGAGGTCCTTCCGCATCATCAGTCCCCTACAGCTCACTCCATAACTTGGCTGCACAGTCCCCAAGGCTGCACCAGCACCTTCGCTGCTCTTAGTTACCTCTCTTGTAAAGTGTGCCTGAGCCCAGAGTCGGTGAGACGTGGTCAGCAGTGCCCAGTGCAGAAGACAGTCAGCAGACGGTGGCTACTTACGGCGGCTAAGCCTGGTTGCGTGATGACACTAGCGCAGGAGCAGCCTGGCGGCTGGCAGAGCACGTTACTGGGCTGTCAGTGTGTGGCCTGGAGGACTAGGTCACTCCCCGGCCTTTGCCTTCCTGGCTTGTCCCATTGCTCTGCTTCCTGGCTGCCACGAACTATCGCGCATGTCCACCATGATGCTTCTGCCTTGGAGCCAGAGAACCATGGACTGAATCCTCTGAAACCATTAACTGAAACTAAAATCAAATTAAATAAACTGAAATTAAATCCCTCTGTAATTGTGGGTGTTGGGTACTGGTCTCAGTGCAGGGAAGTGGCCTTGTGCCTCACCGCTGTCATTAACCTCACCCCTTTGCTCTGCAGCCCAAGCCAGAGTCACACAAGGGACAGTGGCTGAGGAGAAGAGCAGGAGGCTGGGTGGCTCTAGGCCTGTTACCTCATTGGCAGCAGGACCCTGTCAGCTGGGCCTCCTCCTCTGCAGACCAAGTGGCCTGCACATGCGTGAGGGTGATCTGGTTCCATAACAGAGCAGAGCGGTGCCTGTGTCATTGGGTTCCCTCCTCCCCGCCCACCTCAGGCCAGACTCGCAGCACCCTCCAGCCAGGGCCCTTCATGCAGGAACCAGGGTCTGCAGGACCAGGAGTCAGGATGTGGCTCTGAAAGCGCATGAGGTGGGAGAGTGGGTGAGCACATATCTGCTGAAGGCCCTGTGCCCCCATAAGGGCAGTGACCTCAGTGGTGCAGGCTAGGGGTGACTATAACAAATGCCATGGGCTGGGTGAGTTAGGATGTACAGTAATACCTTTCATACAGTCCTAGAGGCTAGAAAGCCCAGCGTCAAGGTGCCAGTAGGTTCAGTGTCTGGTGGGGCTCTTCTCTGCTTCCCAGATGTGCCCCTGGGGGAACCCTGTCATGGAGGAGGGTGGAAGGGCAGCAGGGCCTATCAGCTCCCTTCAGCCCTGATAAGCTCCCTAGCCCCATGCGCAAGGGCTCCACCCTCATGACTTCATCAGCCTGGGGTTTAAGGTCCCACACGTGCATTGTGGAGACACGTGCAGATAGCAGTGGAGACCAGTAGACTTTCTGTCTGAGGACCAGGAGGCAGGAGATGCATCCAGGAAGTCTGTGGCTTGCCCACATCTTCATCCCTAGATTCATGAAAGAGAGACAGGTCTGTTTGCCCAGGACAGCAGAAGAGCCAGAGCCTGGAACAGGAAGTCATGCAGGTGGCAGCTCTAGAGGGGAAGGCACACCTGAGGCAGCTCCGGGAGTGGTGTGGCACAGGGCGGGGCCTGCTGGGCCTCGCTCCTCTCCCGTGTGCTGCACACAGCAGTGGGGTGTGCACTGTGGACCAGCCCCTCACTAGGACCCAGCGACACCAGGGGCTGGCAGTCCCTGACTCGGGACAGCTTCCCGCCCCGTGGCAAGGGCCCCATAAACAAGTAATCATACACCATGTGCTGCATAATTATTTAAAGAGTCATGAATAGGGCCTGGGAAGAGCTACCTGAAACAAGACTCAGGGAAAACCTAAACAATTGACCTTTAAACCCAGATGCTGCTAAGTAAGAAGGCCGGATGTGCAGACATCCAGTGATGGATCGGGGAGAGGGAAGGTATGTGCGAAGCGGCTCAGGCCTGGAATCACAGGACAAGCGTGAGCACCAAGTAGCTGGAACAGAGATGAGGAGACTGCAGCCGGAGAGGACAAAGGCGTGGCTGGTGGCTTCGGGTCTGCTCAAAGTGACTTAGGACATTACAGGAGGTTTTGAGTATGATGACAAAGTCAGATCACTCTGATTTTCTCTTGGGACCAGTCCTAGGAGTCAAGAGTCTAAGCGCGGAAATCAGTTGAGAAGAACTGTAGTGGTCTAGTCAGGACATGATGACAGTTTGCACAAGGTGGCAGCCATGGGAGGGGTCACAAGCACTTGGACGGACATGTTTCAAGGTAGAGTCAACATGACTTCCTGATGGGTCAGATAGGGATGGGTGAAAAGGGCCACCTGGTGCTCAGTGGTTCTAGCTGGCAGAAGCCAGCAGGGTGGGGAGAGCAGGGCAGGGGCCGGTTGAATCTGCGCTTTAGACCTGACAAGTCCATTGCCCGAGCAGGAGGCAGGTGAGGATGGACAGTGTGGAGCTGGAAACAAAGATCTGATCTTTGACACAGCGGTGGGTGTCTGTCACTGGGTCACACACAGGGAAACTGATGCTGTGGTGACTAGGATTCAGCTTTCAAAGGCACACCTTCAGCGTTACATGATGTGTGAGCAGTGAGCCAGGGTTTCAACCCCACTGGGCATACTACGGAGCCCAGTTCTCCCTCTGCCTTCACACCGCAGTTAGTGGATGAGAGGAGAGCACACATCCCTCAGGTAAAGCACCCTACAATGTGCGGCATCTACTGTGTGCAAAGCTTAAAGGACCATTTTGTTCAATCCTCTCACCAAGCCAATCCTCTCCCCAAGAGATCAACTCTTGCACGTGACATCCTGTTCAAACAATGAATGCTTTGTAAATCAAAGAGTTAAATGGAAAGCACAAAAATCCAGGCACGCTGCTAGCTGCTCAAGGGGGAGCATTCAAAGGCGCTGTGGCCTCACATCTAGATCAATAGATATTTGTTGCGTGACAGAGTCAGGGCCTGGACAGCTGGACCACAGTGCATTTCACTCCTCCAGTTTCGTTCCCGGAGGCCCCCAGCAGGCCAGGTGCACGCAAGGCCCGGGGAACGTGGTGCACTCCCAAGCTCAAGGTCCTGCCCAACCTCACCAGGGACCCAGGATCCCTGCTTTGTGCCCGGCTGGTGAGAATAGCAGTCAGAGAGTTTGAGCTTTGTGCAGACTAGGAAAACAAAAGTGTTCTTTTGGCCTAAGAAGGTCCCTCCTTTTCTTCTAAATGGGATATTTCTCTTCCAATTTGTTGTCATGGGTGACTTATGAGACGTAAAAGGGCAGACAGAATGCTGTTCATGGGCCAGCAAGTACAGACTCATGATAATATACAGGGAGTATGACCTTTTATTTTGATAGTGATTAACTTTTAAATGCCTCCTTTGCAAAACAACCATAAAGACTGCTCCTCCTCATCTTTCACGGGGTTGGAAGCTTATGTGTTTCTCTCAAGAATGCTTTGTTAGAGCCCCATCTGCCCTGCAGCGCCAGTGACAAGTGCCTTGCTGATAGATGAATGCACCAGGAGTACTGATATATGAATGGGGAGCTGTAATGAGAAAGGCTTTATAGCCCATTAGCTTGCTGATTGATTTCTCTGTCTTTGCCTTTCTGCAGAAAAGTCTGGACACCTACTGTTTCCTCGTCTTTGCCGCAGTATGTTTCACAGGTGCTGTCTACCTCTATTTTGTCCTGCCTGAGACCAAAAACAGAACCCACGCAGAAATCAGCCAGGCATTTGCCAAGAGGAACAAGGCATGCCCCCCAGGGGAGAGGGCTGACTCAGCCATCAGCAGCGATGAGAAGAGGAGCAGAAAGCCAGAGCCAGATTCCGCCTCCACACTGGATGGCCATGTCAAAGACAGGGTTGTCTGAAGGGGTAGTCACACAGCATCCAGAGCCCCAAAGGCTTCTCCGTGCCTGGAAGGTACAAACTGACTCAAGCCATGCAAGTCCTACACTACTAAGTGTTGCATAATGGACTGGTGCTCGACCAACTGCACAGCCAGTTGTTGATTATCCCGACTGCCACACTCTTCGGGAAGCTGGAAAGAATCACCCTGGGTCTCAGTGACCCAGTATCCTTCTGCAGAGCTCGGGCCCACCTTCCTTGTGACTTCACCAATGGTAATGTAGTCGGACGAATGCTACTGGGATCACTTCTCAAAGCAAACAGTGTGGTCCGGCTGAGGGCTGAGTGGACAGGACATCACTGGCTGAGGTTGCAGTCCCTGCTTTGCTGTCAGTAGCCTCAGTCTCTACGTGGATCAGCAAGCCTGGGAGAGCCTGTGCTTTGATCCTGGACAAAGGCTCTCAGAATACAGTGGGAAGAGGCTCTGCACCTCCTAATGAGCACCTCTGCCTATCGTTGGCTCTGCCTTGCGGATCCTGAACTGAAAAGAACCATTCCCGGCATCTTCCTGCTGGTTTTGCTTTCTCCAGGTGGTGTCCAAACAGCTCAAGGCTGCCAGGTCTGAGGCTGTCTTTGACTAGGATTGTGACAGAGGACATAAAGAAGATATGTGTGTACAAGATCTAGCAAAGTAGCCATAAGGAAGAGCTTTCTAGTAGCTTGGATAGAGACTATGAGTTAAATTCCATTCCATTGAAGTAGTGTTGAGAATGATGCAGAGAATAAGCCTAGGCTTCATGGTGCTGTGCTCAATTAATGATGTCTGTCTGTATCTGGTGAAGGAGTGTGTCTGCATTCATGTTTGCTGATCCTGCAGAGGTTTATCTGATGATGTAATAAGCAGCCTTGGAAGGTGGCGGGCTCAACGTCACTCCGAGTGCTGAGACTGAGTGGTGACTTGCCTAAGTGCCAGTTGTGGAGGAAGATGTTGGGAGGGCCTGGGTCCAAGGGAACATCTGACCCTTCCATGCTTGGGTTGCTGTGTCAGAACTTGCTGCAGTCATGCATAGCTGGTGGTTTGGTGGGTCCCCTGCACCACCTCCAAATCTACGCCGCTGCCAGTGACAGCTTTCCTATCATGACAGTGCACTTGAATCAGCACCACTGTGTTTAAGTTGAGTATGTGTCACAAAAGAGGTAGAGCCAGAGAGGAAGGGCTCTACCCTGGCAACACCATGGGAGCCTCTGTTTCCACTGATCATTCTTAATAATGTTTTTGTTTTGTTTTTTTCATTAATGTATTTGCTACAGGGTCTCACTAAGCAGCTCAGACTGGTAGTGATCCTCCTGTTTTCAGCCTCCCCAGCACTGGGATTATGGGCATGCACCACCACACTGAGATTCAGTTGTACCCCAGGGGTGGGGCTGGCGTGGTATGCATGACCAGGAATTGAACCCTGGTCCCTGCGCTTGCCAAAGCAGTCATTTAGTCTGCTGAGCTGTCTCACCGGCCCACCACTGATCATTCTTGACCGAGGTGGTCTTGGGCAAACCTGAGCTCTGATTTTCCTTCCCTGCTGAACACTTTCACCTGGGCCTCTCCTTTCTCTGACTGCCAGCTGAACACAGTACACCATCCAGCTACAGTGTGGCCGGATAATTTGAGCAGTGTTTGTCAATATGAAGAGAAAGTGGCATATGAGCCCCAAACAGGTCTGAGAACAAAAGAAAAGCCAAATAAAGTATAAACTAGAAATCCTAACTTTTAAGTATTTTCACTCACCTGGAGACTTGAGCACTCGGAGAGTAAATACGAAGGCACTAGCCGAGTGTTGAAGGTAAGTCAGTAAGCAAGGAAATGCACACCCTTCACTGCGCGTGCTGGTGTCTACCAAGATGTTGGTTCAAAGTTCTGATGGCAGGAGCGTGTGGCAGACACGCTGAGATGACAGGAGATAAGCAGGAAAGCCTTCCCAAATAAGCAACAGAAATAGAATGGGGACAAATATGACAATCAGGCAACAGGGCAGGAATTGCTCTTACACATTATTACATTTGAGAAAATAGTAGAGCCATATTAAGGAAATTTTTGGGAAATTGAAGCAATGAAACACCCCTCTTCTCTAGGCTTCATTCTCCCTAACACTGTCTTTTTCATACAGCTCTGAACATTTCTTGCCTATTGTTTACCCACCTGCAATCACAGAATATATAAAACACAATTATAATCATCTTTCTCTTATGTTTTTTCCTCTCGATATTAAATCATATCTATCATCTCGGTTCTGCAGGCTTTTGTCCACACTGTGGTATCCACTGCAGCTGATTCTTTACAGATAAAGTAGTTTTCCAGATTCTAAGAGGCAATAGAGGTGGTAGACCAGAAAGACAGACCTCTCCATGAGCGTCGCTGAGCAGACTGTGGGACTTCACTGCAAGGCGCTAACCATCTGCAGCATCCTGTTTCTGTGCATGACCCCTGAAGCAACCTCGGGTCAAATCAACAGGCCTCTGTATTGGTCACTGTCCCATCACTGGGACAAAACACCCAGTACTCACAGCTCAAAGAGGAGCTTATTCCATCTCAGTTTCAGTGGGTTCAGTTTATGGTCTTCTGGCATGAAGGCAGAAATAACATGGTGGAAGGTTCTAGAAGGGAACAGCTGCTCATCCTCCGCTGTGAGGAAGTAGAAGGGAGGAGCCAGGGACAGAATGGACATTTCCTGGTCCTGCCCCCAGTGATCCACAGCCACGAACGCCAGTGAATCCACCAAAGAGTATGGCATCCCCATGCTCCAGCACCTTCACACTCGTGACACCTTAGGGACACATTTTAGATGTAAACCCTAACAGCCTCCTCTGCTAGTCTCTGCCAAAGTGTTAAAGATTGGGTCTTTGTCTTTCTACTTTACCTCCCTGCTTGTGTCCTACCACAGAGTTTAGCATTTCCTCCTTTCGGGTTCACTGAAGTGCAAGAACTTCTTCCAGAGTAGATCTGGCTCACCAGAAGTAAGCAAGCACATACCACCACTCTTCTCACACTGATTATAACTAAAAACCCTGGACAGAATCATAGCAAACACATGAGGACTCTGAAAATAAATTATAGCAGCAAAATAAGGCTGTAAATCAAAAGTGGGAGGACAGATAACCTGGCAGGGAGTTTTCTGCATCTTCTCTTCCTATATCCAGCCCCAGGTGGACCAGTTTCCAGCAGCGGTGGCTGTGTAAGCACTTAAAGAAAATCCTGGGGCCGGGGAGATGGCTCAGTGGAGTAAGCACTTCCCTGGCAAGTGCAAGGGCCTAAGTTCAATCCCTGGTTCCACCAAAAAAAAAAAAAAAAGAAAAAGAAAAGAAAAGAAAATCCTTCTCTCAGGTGAGAGGGACTAAAAACTGGTCCTTTATGGTCCAAATAGTATAGCAGGATGTGCCTGTTTTTGCTATTAATGCTGTATCCCAGATATACACCCATGCATGACAGGTGTAATCTCTGAGAAGGATGAAACCTTGGGCTTCTAGTCAAAAGACCAGCAGTAAAAACTAGAATGGAATGGGCTGGTGAGATAGGTCAGCAGACTAAGCATCTGCTTTGGCATTGCAGGGGCCAGGCAGGGATCGATGCCCGATTCCACATGCCACGTTGGCCCCGCCCCCAGGATGCACAGAGTCCAGGCATCGTGGCACGTGCCTGTAATCCCAGGGCTGGTGAGGCTGAAAACAGGAGGATTGCTATGAGTCTAATCTGCATAGTGAGACCCTGTACCAAATACAGAAATGAAAAGAAAGAAAGCTAGGATGTAAAGGATGTAGAAGAAATCACAGTGGAGAGCTGAAGAAAGAGGGAACCTAAATCAACTACTTTGAAAACAACAATGTGCAACCACTGTTAATGTTCTATCATCCTGTTTTGAAAATTTGTATTGTTTTTTACTTTTTATTCTCTTTAAAATTAAAACAAACATTAATCTATATATGAAATCCTGAGCTCACCTCCAATATTCACACATAGAGAATGATATAAAATATGGTGACTCCTTAAATGAAGATGCTTGAAAATGTATTACAGTACAAAACACGCCACCAATCCCTCTCGAAATCCTCTCCCTCTTTCAACACATTCACCCATCATTCTTGTCACTTTCTGAGAGTGTTCTGGAGTCCTCTTTCCTGCATGTCTCTCCATGGCCTCGGCCTCCTGAACTGATTCAAAATATGTCTGGCAATCTCTGTCCAATGAAAACATGACGCTGTGTCCTCCTCCACCTCATTCACTGGATCTGACGCAACGTGACTTCTAGCTTTTCCACAAAGTCAAAACTACCATGAAAGGTAGGCACTTTGAGTCAGGGACACGGAGGCAACCACAGCAGTACAACAAAAGACACTGGGGGAAGAAGAGGACCCCGCACTGGGGCAGAAAGCAGCCAGAGTGATGGGACGCATGTGCTCCAGGTGAGGGGGAGCTTCTGAGGGGCATTAATGCCAATATGTCTTTTACTGTAGTACATTTTTTTCAGATATTCACCATATTTTTATTACATTTCATGTATGAATTTGTATGGAACTTGCAAATCAGTATATCAGCGTGCTCACTATTTTCCAGGCACCGTGTCATTGCCTGTCACCCTTTACAGTGTCTCAGAGTCACCTGGGAGGTGACATGATCCCCACCCTCCTGCATGGTCTGCAGAGGTCTAAGTCCTGTATCACCACCTGAAGACACAGAAGGTCCCAAATGACATGCCTGTAAAATTGGTTGTTTGTTTTTATTTGTTTTTGGGGTTTTGGGGTTTTGTTGTTGTTGTTGTTTTGTTTTGGGTTTTTTTTTTTTTGCAATATGATTTAAAACCATATTCTGGGCTGGCCAGATAGCTCAGCAGACTAAAGCACCTGCTTAGGCAGAGCGCATGGCCAGGGTTCGATCCCCGGCAGGCCATGCTGGCCCCGCCCCCGGGGCTCTCTGAGACAGCAATTGAGACTGGGAGTGGTGGCGCAAACCTGTAATTTCAGCACTTGGGAGGCTGAAAACAGGAGAATCACTACAAGTCTGGGCTACATAGTGAGACCCTGTAGACCCTGTCATAAATACAGAAAGAACAGAAAAAAGAATGTAGCAACAAGAGCGCCCGCCCCACCTAGGATGAGAAGCGGAAGCCATGGTCTGTAGGCATAAGGCAGTGACCTGGAAGGACCTGGGGTCCAGATTTCGTGGACCAGAGTTGCTGTCACAGCTCTGAGCTTCCAAAACCTGACCTTTGCCTCTGGCTGCCAATACTTGTTTTGCTTAGGCTGCCGTCCCAATGGGCTTCTCTTGCGCGACTAAACCTAAACTCAAAGGATACAGGTAATGACAGGAAACAGCCCGAGGTGCTTGAGAATACAGGAAGCGAAGCCAATTCTCCAGACACTCAGCAAGTTCATTCTCTGTGCGCAGCTGCCTCCTGAAGATGAGGAGGAAAGGTGCCGGAGTCGCGGGAGTTGCTAGAGCTGTCCGTGGTGCTGACCTGGATTTTCTGCTTCACAGCGCCAATTTCTCAAGTTTATAAAAATACGGTTGTATTGTCGCTTCTGGTGCCAGAGACAGCCCATGAAGTAACTACTATCGGGTTCCCATTCCATGATCAAACCCTGTTTTTCAAGCTCCAAGATCAGCCACCTCTTATGCTATTTCCACACTGCAGGACCTGCCTGTCCTTCAGTGGTGGCTGTGCTGTTTTGCTACATGACTGTGCCACATGTCCCTATCAACCTCTTCTACGATGATGTCCTGAAGAGTCTAGTGTCCCAGTAATGGAAAGTGACATCAATTGCCTTAGTGAATCCTGCCATCTGACACACCTGCCTACATGTAATCACTGCTGTGTCACTAGACTTGGTTGTGCAAATTACTTTGGCCACTAAGACATCAGAAATGGAAACACAAACGGAAGAGCGCAATCAGTATACTCCAGAACTTTGCCTCTTAGTATATGAATGACACAATTTATGTACGCTCACTCTGGCCTCCTTGGGCATGAAAGACCATAGACAGAGCTCAGGTGTCCCCACTGTCCCAGATGGACACAGGTCCAAGTCACCCTCCCAGATGTACACAGTTGCTCAAGTGACTCCAGGAGAAAGAACCACCCAACTGATTCTCGGGATCCCACAAAATAGTAACTATGTTGCTTTAAGCTACTAACTCATGGTATATTTTGTTAAATAGCAATAGACATCTAGGAGAGACCCATTATATCATTACATTTTTCTTATGTGAGTCCTTTTAGCAATGCTTCGAATCCAGATCCCAAATAACAGAAGGACTAGCATTCTCTGAATTCA